TTTCTTAATGATGAATTTATATAGCGCCATTTCCAGGAATGTGCTCTGTGCCTAAAGAAGAATACCTAGATTCATGGCAACACTTACAATATAATATATTATAATATACGTACAGTGAGGACAATGGAACCGTCACCACTTTGAATTAGTTTTTTGTCACTTTTTTTTTACAAATGTATACTGTAAATCATCTCTTAAACCATAGTTAACTATGCTTAAACTAATGGATTCAAAGTAAAGTATTTATTTTTACCACAATATTTTTTGCTTTACTTTAGAGGGTTTTAAACAGTGGGAAAACAAAATAACATCGAAGAGTTCCAGTAAAGGAAAGCATACTATAATCGTTTTGTTTAGTAAACTCTTTATTTACTGAGGGTAGCACTAAATAGCAATATACTAACAAACCTGTGGCCCTCTACTGCTTCTTGTAGGTGAAAGCCGTAACAGAAACATCATTAATGTAAAGATTCATTCTTGAAAAATAAGAAATATTAATATGTTCCCTTTAAAGCTAAATACAGTAAATCGTTATCATTCTTCAATCACCTAACATTTAAAAATAAAATCTTGTAAGTCTAACCTTTTCATGAAGTCTCGTGCCYGACTATTTGATATGCATATGCCAGTGTGTTTTTACAAAGTCTGCCTTCTTACATATTACATCTACAGACATTTCTCTTGCGCAAAAGCGATAACACAGATACCATTCTTTGCTTTGCAAGGGGAAAAAAATTCCCTGCTATTTTCATAAGCAATTACTGCAAATCTAATTAATTTAAGCAGCGGGAACATTTTTATATACAGTATTTCTTTCTTTATGCTTTCTTTCTTTGCTTTTTCTTTGCTTTTCCTTTGCTTTTGTTATTAATGATTATATATTCCCAAGTTTTAAATTCCAAATCAAACATTTCAAAGAATCCTTTCCAAGTTGTATTTATTGATGTTTATTTAAGGATTTTTCAATAATTATACAAATGTACGTCCGAACACTATCATTTCAGATAAATCACTCCTTGTGTTTCTTGTGATCAACCATAGTTTTTGGCGCCTACGCTACACTTCAACCTTGAAACGGTAGCTTCTCTGCCATGCAGTATGGCTTTCATCTGGACTACATACATGCATGTGATTAGAAGATTCACAGTGCCGGACTTTGGTCGATGTATGACCACTTGCAGGGGCGGCGGAAGCTGAAAAAGTTTGGGGGGGCACTCCAATATTTCACGGTACCTTGAAATGACCCCCCCCCCYCCCTGTTTAGCTTSATTACAAACGTGTATGTGTGATATTTCAATCAGTAACATTTTGCGCGCATTAAACCACTTGCAATTGTGCTGAGAGACACAAAAATGATGCAAGTCGTCGCTAGATATATCGTRTATTTTTTAGATACAGAAAATTATRTAATATCAAAATAATAAATAATGGTAATCATAACCAAATCTCATGCGTTTTTTTTTTGGGAGGCATTATATTCTGGGGGGGCCAGGCCCCCCCCCAAAAATCTAGTGGGGGGGACAGTGCCCCCCCCGGCCCCCCCGGCCCCCCCGCTTCCGCCGCCCCTGACTTGTTTGAAACACAGGCTATGCCTTAGTTATAACTTTTGCATGTACAACAATACACGTGAGTAAATAAGGCCGATAAGAACAGCGATCCACAAAGCTATAGACCCAAAGAATGGCACAGCTATGATGACAGAATGGTATGTTGAATAAAAACTTTGCTTTCAAAGGACATTCGATTGATATATATATATTTTCCAATAGAAAAGTAGAGCACAAAATGGGTTGCCATTAGTTAGTCCTCCCAGAATATATTTAAATTGCTGGTTTAGGAAGAAATTTTGCACTCCAGTGTATCAGATTTCCAAGGAAGAGTGAATTATCGATCAAAGTGATTGGTTTGGCTTAACTCACGCCGTGTCACACCACCATTTTTGYGCCGTGAGATTTTCATGGTCATACGAAAACTGCCGGCTCTAAAAGGTTTATTACTGAACGCTGGTCTATACACTAACCGGTATCACTCGAACAAAGTTAACCAAAGACAACATTTGTTGTGACAAAGAAAACAAATCTAAGTCAAATTTGAACTAATCAGGAGTAATCAATGGAGCCTAGATATCTGAGAAATAACTTAGAAGTTAAAAACAACCGTGGCAATGAGTAAGTGTGATCGATTGGCTTAGGTAATTATCAGTGGTACTACTTTTTCTCCCCTGATTGGCTGAAGTCTTTTTCTATCTCAATTCAAATTTTGTTCAAATGCTCCGGGTTAGTGTGTCCGCAAAGTAAGTTTGTATGACATAGATAATCAGAACAAGATATACATGAAGTTAAATATAAAGCTGAAATTCTGTATTGTTCTTATTTCCTACAAAAAAAAAAAAAAAAAAAAAGTGTGTATGTTTGTTCCTCTCTATCCCTCTCTGAGTCTCTCTCTTTTCTAAAATTATATTTTAACAAAGTCCCAAAGACTGAATATTGTAGGGGTTCTTTTTCTTATAGAGGGGCAAAAAATTGATGAAATTCCCTACCTCTAGACTTCATGATGTTCAACCTCTAAGACTGTATTTAAAGATAACATATCGGCTATCGGCTTGTCGTTTGACTCTGCATAAACTGTTTATCTGGTATTAATTTTTTAAACTTATTATCAGAATTTATAGTTATAATTTATATTTCTTATGAGGCTATTATTGATGAAGATAGAAGCATGAGCATTAGTTTTGCTTCTGTTTATATATGGCTTTCACATAAAGAAGTTTTAAAACTTATGGAATTACCGTATTTAAATAAAAGTGAATCAATCAATCTATCAATCTTTTTTATCTATCTAGATATTTGTTATCTCTTTCTTTCTTTCTTTTCTTTTCTTTCTTTCTTTCTTTCTTTCTTTCTTTCTTTCTTTCTTTCTTTAAACCTCATTTGTCAAAATAGGCAGCAACAGTGTATTGTTGAGAGTTGTTTATCTCAACCCTTGACAGTAAGCTGTGGAGTACCTCAAGACTCCATTTTGGGGCCTTTACTGTTTCTTTATACTTAAATGATTTTCCGGGGTGTCTTCTATTCACTGAACCGGATATGTACGCTGATGACCCTCTTGTGAGTACTGTCTCTTTGTCAACAATTGAAATGCAGATTAAGCTGCATGAGGATTTAAATAATGTAAACCAGTGGCTGTTGGCGAACAAATTTAGTTTAAATACTACTAAAACTGAGTATATGGTTATGGGCTCAGATTTCAGGCTCTCCAATTTAGGGATGACTATCTCAATTCACATTGGAGATAAGCAAATAAAAAAGGTTGTATYAACAAAACATTTTTACGTTTACCTTAATCAAAACCTTAAATGGGATGGGCATATTGAAAATATGTGTTCCAAAGTAAAGCGTTCCATAAATGGTTTAAAACAGGCTCGTGGCTTTGTACCCTTAGAGGTTCTTTAATTAATATATAGCGCTCTTATACAGCCTGTTTTTGAACACTGTGATGTGGGGCAATTTAAACAAAGGTCTCGCCACTAAATTACAAAAATTACAGAACCGTGCTGGCCGAATAATAACTTTTCTAGGTTATGATGTCAGGTCCAAGGATGTATTGAATTCCCTAAATTGGGATAATTTTGCATCTCGCAGACATAAACACTTGTGTTTATTTATGCATGATTTAGTTAACAATGCTGTACCTACAAACATTAGCGATCTTTTCTCAAGATGTTCGTAAAATATCCCTTGTAAATCTCGACCTAGAGACAAAGAACTAAATATCGAGATTCCTCGTGTCCCGAAGACCGAGTACTATAAAGGGTCATTTTCATATAGAGGTGCGATGAAATGGAACTTACTACCTCATAATTTAAAGTCGTCAACATCAAAAATGATTTTTTTAAATCAGTCATTATCGGGCAGGCAAATCGTTARTTAATTTTAACTATTTTATTGAATTTATGCTATTTTAATCATTTTCAATTATATTATATATAACTTATATTATATACGGCTTTCATGAACACGAACAAGTAGTATTGGGCTTCCTGTGTAGCGTTTGGTTTCCCAGAATCGGAGTACACGTGTGTAAGTCAAACAATGAACTGCTCTTTGAATTCAGTTTTCTTACCTTTTTGCCTTATCATAAATATCATATACATCAAAGATTCAGGTAAGTACAATAAAAAAGTAACATTACATATTTTATAGATAATTTTATGCAAAAATATACTTTTTCACAAGTTTCATTTCATAATTACATGAGCTAGATATGATTATTAATGACTGAATCAGATTTTAGATAATTCTTAGTTAATGTTTTTAAAATGATTAGGTTTGACTAATGCTGATATAAAGTGATTGGTTTTCAATTTTAAAACTCGATGCTTGATAAACAATTCGGCTTTTTTCTAAACTTCATAACAAGGACTAAGATGTAGTCGTTTTATTTACTATACCCAGTACACGCCATATATCTTTAAAACAATTACCTGCCATGAGGTGCTTATGGCGTATTTAGTTATCAACTATTTAGGTATGAAACAATGAACCAAGCGAAGACGCGTAGAAGTACTTGCTGTTGTTTACAATGTTCTGTTAGGTACACTGGGAGCCCGGCTTTAGAATTTGTACATGAATAAAAAAAATCAATAAGCGCTTTATTGGGTTTTCTACGGTGGCCCAAAAGGGTCAA